TGCAGTGGCATAATCTTGGCTCACTGCAACCTCTGCCTCCTGGGTTCAAGCGATTCTCCTGCTTCAACCTCCCGAATAGCTGGGAATACAAGCACGTGCCACCGTGACCAGCTAATTTTTTTTTTTTTGTATTTTTAGTAGAGACAGGGTTTCACTATGTTGGCCAGGCTGGTCTGGATCTCCTGACCTCATGATCCGCCCACCTCAGCCTCCCAAAGTGCTGGGATTACGGGTGTGAGCCACCGTGCCTGGCCTGACATGTCTTTTTCCTTTTTCTTTTTGAGACAGAATCTCACTCTGCCGCCCAGGCTATAGTTCAGTGTTGCGATCTTGGCTCACTGCAACTTCAGCTCCTGGGCTCAAGTGATTCTCCTGCCTCAGCTTCCTGAGTAGCTGGGCTTACAGGTGCCCACCACCATGCCTGGCTAATTTTTGTATTTTTAGTAGAGAAGGGGTTTCACCAAATTGGCTAGGCTGGCTTCGAACTCCTGACCTCAGGTGGTCCGCCCTCCGTAGCCTCCCAAAGTGCTGGGATTACAGGCGTGAGGCACCGCGGCTGGCCAAGTAGACATTTATTCAGAAGAGAAGCACAGGAGAGAATTGTTGGCTGCAAAGTCCTGAGTCAAAAAGCTGGTGCTTGAGAAACTGGGAGTGGATTGCGGGCTCCTCAATCTCCTGTCATTACCACCAAAAGCCCAGGGTTTTACTTAGGCTTGGATCTCAGTAAACCCAAGGCATGGCCCAGGGTTCAACAAGAGTCTGATCAGAGGATGTCACAGTGGAGGTTTGGGCTGGTTGCAGTGGTGTGTGTCTGTATTCCCACTGCTTTGGGAGGCCAGGGTGGGAAGATCAGTTGGCCAGGAGTTCACTGGAGGCCAGGAGTTTGAGACCAGCTTGGGAAATATAACAAGACCCCCATCTCCACAAAAAAAAAAAAAAAAAAAAAAAGTGGATGTTTGGGCCAGGCAGGGTGACTCATGCTTGTAATTCTAGCACTCTGGGAAGCCAAGGTGGGAGGATCGATGGAACCCCAGAATAGAGACCAGCCCGGGTAACACAGTGAGACCCCCAGCTATACAACAACAACAAAAATTTTTTTCAAATTAAAAAAATTAGCCAGTTGTGATGATGTGTGCTTGTTGTCCCAGCTTCTCAGGAGGCCCAGGTGGTAGGATTGCTAGAGCCCAGGAGTTCAAGGCTGCAGTGAGCTATGATGGCACCACTGCACTCCAGTCTGGTGATAGAGCAAGGCACTGTATTTAAAAAATAAAATAGGCCAGGCACAGTGGCTCATGCCTGTAATCCCAGCACTTTGGGAGGCTGAGAAGGGCAGATCACAAGGTCAGGAGTTCAAGACTATCCTGGCCAACACGGTGAAATCCTGTCGCTACTAAAAATACAAAAAATTAGCTGGGCGTGGTGGCGGGTGCCTGTTCTCTCAGCGACTCAGGAGACTGAGGCAGGATAATCGCTTGACCCTGGGAGGCAGAGGTTGCAATGAGCTGAGATTGTGCACTCCAGCCTGGTGACAGAGCGAGACTCCTTCTAAAAAAAAAAAATACAACTAGGCATGGTGGCTTATGCCTGTAATCCCAGCACCTTGGAAGGCTGAGGTGAATGGATCACTTGAGGTCAGGAGTTTGAAATCAGCTTGGCCAACATGGCAAAATCCTGTCTCTACTAAAAATACAAAAGTTATCCGGGCATGGTAACAAACCCCTGTAATCCCAGTTACTTGGGAGGCTGAGGCAGAATTGCTTGAACTCACGGGGCAGAGGTTGCAGTGAGGCAAGATGGTGCCACTGCACTCTAGTCTGGGCAACAGAGTAAGACTCTATCTCAAATAAATAAATAAATAAATAAATAAATAAATAAATAAAGGGAGATACATGTTGGTTGGTTACTCTAGCTTAATCCCATCTCCATCCCTCATCCCAATTCCATTCTCACGTCTAACCCCATCTCTAAGCCAATCTCCAACCCTCCACTGCAATCCTGACCCTGTTTCCATCACTTCCTTTTGATGCGTTCCCATCCTCAGCCCAGCCCTCACCCTGAGCTTCTCTTCTCCAGGTTCAATTGCTCCACCACGACCTCCACGGGCAGGTGAGTTTGGGCTGAGGGTGTAGGAGAACAAGAGATGGCTTTGCCATGCTCTGGGCCTGAGCAGCCATTCCTCCCTCCTCAGAAAAGAAAACAGAGAAACCCCCACTTCCTTGCAAGCCCCGGAAGACGACAGGTGATAGCTGAGGGCTGGGGTCATCCTGCTCACCTGGCTGAGGCCCTTCTTGGAATGACTTTCTCATCTCTTCCAGGACTGGACCTCGCCGCTGTCACCTGCATACCTCCTCAACTGGATGAGCAGTGGGAAGACCCTTCAAGAAGCCTAAGAGGTGACACCTGGAAGTTTCCTTTCAATCACCATTTTTTTTTTTTTTTTTTGAGACAGAGTCTCACTTTGTCATCCAGGCTGGAGTGCAGTAGTGCCATCTGGCTCACTGCAGCTTCCACCTCTGGGGTTCAAGTGATTCTCCTGCTTCAGCCTCCCAGGTAGCTGGAACTACAAGCAAGAGCCACCATGCCAGACTGATTTTTATATTTTTAGTAGAGATGGGATTTCACCATGTTGGCCAGGCTGGTCTCGAACTCCTGACCTCAAGTGATCCACCTGCCATGGCCTCCTAAAATGCTAGGATTATAGGCATGAGCCACTGTGCCCAGCCAGCCCCCTAAATTCTGACCAGAGAATAAAGCAGAGGTTGTTAATCTTGGAAGACAGTCTTTCCGTGTCTTCTGAATAAATCTCTCTCCCCCTTTCTCCCAGCTGTGGATCTGGAGCCTTCTCCATTGCAACCACCCCTGGCCGGTAAGTTCTCATGCCCTGCAGGCGTCCTCCTGTTTCCCCTCTGACAGTGGCTAGTGTATTTGATTGAGACCTATGGCTCTAAAGTGAGACCCTGAGTCAGAAAAACTTCTCCTTTAAGAAGGTGCTCCTTCAGGACCTGCCACACTGTTCTGAGTTAGTCTAGTAAGCACTACTCTAAGTGAGAAAGACAGCTCTTCCTTGAGATTAGAGTTTGCAAACATGTATTGTCCTTCTGAGGACTGGCGGTATGTGGTTGTTTTGTTTTTGATAATGATGATGGCACTTATGGTTCTGTTGGTGATTGTGATGGAAGGATGAGGAAGCAGATGATGGAAAGGAAGACGATGGTTGGTGGTGGTAAAGATGGTGGAGGTAGTGATGATGGTGTTGGTGCTGATGGTGATGGTGGAGTTAGGGATAATTGTGGTGATGATGGAGTTAGTGATGATGGTGGTGATGGGGATGGAGGTATTGATGGTGTTGTTGGTAATCATGGAAGTAATGATGTTAGTGATGATGGTATTGTTGGTACTGATGATGGTGGTGATAGTGGAGTGAGTGATGGTGATAGTTGGATGGTGATGGTGATGGTGGTAGTGATGGTGTTGGTGATGGTAGAGGTAGTGATGGTATTGTTGACAATGACAATGTTGGTGATGATGGTGATGGTGAAGGCAGTGTTGGTGTGGGGGATGACAGTGCTATTGGTAGTGATGATGGTGGTGATGGTGGAGGTAGTGATCGTGTTGTTGGTAGTGATGATGGTGGTGATGGTGGAGGTAGTGATGGTGTTGGTAGTGATGATGGTGGTGATGGTGGAGGTAGTGATGGTGTTGGTAGTGATGATGTGGTGATGGTGGAGGTAGTGATGGTGTTGTTGGTAGTGATGATGTGGTGATGGTGGAGGTAGTGATGGTGTTGTTGGTAGTGATGATGGTGGTGATGGTGGAGGTAGTGATGTTGTTGGTAGAGATGATGGTGGTGATGGTGGAGGTAGTGATGGTGTTGGTAGTGATGATGGTGATGGTGGAAGTAGTGATGGTGTTGGTAGTGACCGTATTAAAAAAAAAGAAGCTGTTCTTCTCTGAGTCTAGTCCAGATCTCCAGAAACTCAGGGTGTCTGCTTGCATAAGATATGGGAAATGTTCTCTGCTCTAGAAGCTGGGGTCCACAAGCTTCCTTGACCTAGGAGCAACTTGGGTAGGGGCTTCTTGAGAGTAGGGGATGATGCATCGTAGATTCTAAGTAGAAAGCTGGGTCCAAGTCATGACTAACTTCATTAAGCCTCAGCTTACTCACTTTCAAAATGGGAATAATACTTATAATATACATAATAAGGATGAGACTCCAATAAGATAAGAAGGATGTAGGCTGGGATTACAGTGGCTCACACCTCTAATCCCAGCGCTTTGAGAGGCTGCAGCAGGGAGGATTGCTTGAGGCCAGGAGTTCAAGACCAGCCTGTGCAACATGGCGAGACCCCCATCTACAAAAAAAAATAATAAATTAGCTGGGCCTAGGGGCACACACCTGTAGACCCAGCTACTTGAGTGGCTGAGGTGGGAGGATTGCTTGAGCCCAGGAGTTAGAGGTTGCAGTGAGCTAATTGCACTCCATCCTGGAAGACAGAGTGAAACCTTGTTTCAAGAAGGAAAGAAGGAAAAAGAGAAGGATGCAACATGATGCTTAGTGCACAGTAAGTGCATCAAAAGGACCCTGAGCCTCCCCAGGGTTCACTCTCCTAACCCTCTCTTGCTGACCTCATCTGCTGAAACAGTCATGACTTCAGATTTCTGTCCCCTGCTCTTGGAGAAAGGCTTAAGGGTCTCTGCCTCACTCTCTGAAGCCCCAGTATCAGTCTCTCTGTCCCCATCCTCACTCCCCAGCAGCTCCAGCGCGCTGGCTCAGTCAGACATCTGGAGGTCCTGGGTGTTGCCAGAAGAGGCTGATAGTGTGTCTGTGTCTGCTGGTGGCGACTTCCCTGATCCTGAGCTGCTTTGGTCTCATTTTGACCCTGACGAAGTGTGAGTAGGGTCAGGATGGGACATGGGGAGATACTGGGGAGGGTGCGCAGGAGGACCTGGGCTCAGTTTGGATTCTTGCTCATAGACGAGGAGTTGGTGAAAGAACTGAGAATGTTAAGCTTTCAGCAGATGATGTGGCGAGCAAATGGTGAGTGCTTCCACCCATTCCTTCGTGCCGTTCCTATTGGGCCTTAACCCAATCCTCAGATCCAACTCCAAGATCCACCCTCATCCCTGTCTTTGCTGGCCATTGTGCTAGATAGCAGGGGGGTAAAATGGTAAACATGTCAGACACAGCCCCTGTCCCTGTGAGGTGTGCATGCGTGTGTATGTGCCCTGACCTCCACCATCCAATATGGTGGCCACAAGCCTCATGTGGCTGTTGACTATTTGAAATGTGGCCAGTCCAAGTGGAGATGTGGTCTATGTATAAAATACACACTGGGCCAGGTACAGTGGCATCTGCCTGTAATCACAGCACTTTCTCTTTCTTTCTTTCACTTTTTTTTTTTTTTGAGTCTCTCTCTGTTGCCAGGCTGGAGTGCAGTGGCGTGATCTCGGCTCACTGCAACATCCGCCTCCTGTATTCAAGCGATTCTCCTGCCTCAGCCTCCAGAGTAGCTGGAACTACAGGCATGCGCCATCATGCCTGGCTAAATTTTGTATTTTTAGTAGAGATGGGGTTTCACCCTGTTGGCCAGGCTGGTCTCAAACTCCTGGCCTCAGGTGATCCACCTGCCTCGGCCTCCCAAAGTGCTGGCGTGGTTATGGGTATGAGTCACCATGCCCCATCTAGCAAGACCATGTTCCTACAAAGAATAAAAAAAAAAATTAGCCAGGCATGGTATTTTGTGCCTGTAGTCCTAGCTACTCAGGAGGCTGAGGTGGGAGGATCACTTGAGGCCAGGAGGTCGAGGCTGCAATGAACCACCATCACATCACTGCACTCCAGCCTGTGGGTTGGAGCAGGACTCTGTCTAAAAAAAATAAAATAAAGGATCCAGACATCTGAGCTCATTCTACTTTGATCTCAAGGTTTTCTGAGTTTTCCCTCCACTCTCATAGGCTTTGCCAGCTCACTGCAACATACTTGCTATTTTCACTTTCTTTTTTAGTTTTTTTTTTTTTTAATTTTTTATTTTGAGACAGAGTCTCACTCTGTTGCTCAGGCTGGAGCACAGTGGTGTGATCTTGACTCACTGCAACTTCTGCCTCCGGGGTTCAAGCGATTCTCTTGCCTCAGTCTCCTGAGTAGCTGGGATTACAGGCATGCATCACCACACCCAGCTAATTTTTGTATTTTTATTAGAGACAGGGTTTTACCATGTTGGCCAGGATCGTCTTGAACGCTTGGCATCAAATGATCTGCCTACCTTGGCCTCCCAAAGTGCTGTGATTATAGGCTTGAGCCACCACGCCCAGCCTGTATCTTTGCTTTTAGGATAGTCCTTGCTTGGTGGGCTTCTTCCTCACTTCACGGTTATCAAACCACTTTCTTCCTTTGTTTTATTTATTTATTTTGTTGAGATGGCATTTTGCTCTTGTTGCCCAGGCTGGAGTGCAATGGCGTGATCTCGGCTCACCACAACCTCCACCTCCCTGGTTCAAGTGATCCTCCTGCCTCAGCCTCCCGAGTAGCTGGGATTACAGGCGTGTTCTGGCACTCTCAGCTAATTTTTAGTATTTTTGGTAGGGACGAGGTTTCACCATGTTAACCAGGATGATCTCGATCGCCTGACCTCGTGATCTGCCTGCCTTGGCCTCCCAAAGTCCTGGGATTACAGGCGTGAGCCACCGCGCCCGGCATTGCCTTCCTTTAAAACCCACTTCCTCCAGGGTGCCTACCATCCTTACTCTTCCCCAGGTCCCAGGGATTCATCCCTCCTCTGAGCCATTCTTGGATTCTGAGCACTGTACATGTGGTTTTTGAGCTCAAGCATGACCCACTGGAATGTGGACACAGTGGGGAGCGCCAACTTTGCTTTTCTGTGATGTGTCTGCAGTCGGTGGTGGTTGGATGGGGTGGGTTCTGAGTCTCTAACCCTCAAGCCCATCCCTTCTGACAGTGACTGGCATGGCAGGGCTAGCTGGCCTGAAGCATGACATTGACCGTGTAAGAGCTGACACCAACCAGTCCCTGGTGGAACTTTGGGGCTTATTAGGTGAGTGAGACTTGGGGAATTGCCCAGGGACGAGGGCCATGGCAGAGCTGGCACGTTACATTACTCCACTGAAGTGATTCTCAGTGCAGTCTACGTGAATGGTGCTCCCCTGGAGTTGAGCAGTGTACAGCCTGCACAACTGTATGTGGCATACAATGTACATGGCTCAGGTTCTGGGGCCATCCTGACAGCATCCTGTCCGGTTCCCAGACTGCTCCCGAGTTACCTGTCCTGAAGGTTGGCTCCCCTTTGAGAGCAAGTGTTACTACTTCTCCCCAACCACGAAGTCATGGGATGGAGCCCGGATGTTCTGCCAGGAGAATTACTCACACTTGGTCATCATCAATAGTTTTGCTGAGCACGTGAGTTGTTCCCACTGAACCTTTGAGAACCTTCAGGGACAGCCTGCTTCTCTTTCAGGATGCACACATCCCTCCCTTCCCTGGGTGGCAGTAACTAGAATTACTTTTCGGTTACTAAAACTTTAGCATCAAGATCTTCCTAAGAGCATCATGCAGAAGTTAAGAAGATATGCTTTGTTTTTGAGTTCGAATTCTGATTGTGTTGATTTAACCTCTACAAGTTTCAAGGTTCAGTTTTATCTCTAACTTGAAAATACAATAATGAATACCTGTAGGTAGCAATTTCTATTTTTCAGCTTGTATTCCAAACGCTTTACATCTTACATTCATTAACATAGGCAAGCCTCATGACAACCTGTCAATCAGTATGTCAGTCAGAAGACGTTATTTTATGATGCAGTAACAGACAGTCTCCATAGCCCAATGGGGAATGAAGATGAGGCAGCCGGGCGCGGTGGCTCATGCCTGTAATCCCAGCACTTTGGGAGGCTGAGGTGGGCGGATCATGAGGTCAGGAGTTCAAGACCAGCCTGCCAACATGGGGAAACCCCCCCGTCTCTACTAAAAATACAAAAATTAGCTGGATGTGGTGGTGGGTGCCTGTAATCCCAGCTACTCGCAAGTATGAGGCAGGAGAATTGTTTTGGACCCAGGAGGCAGAGGTTGCAGTGAGCCGAGATTGCACGATTGCACTCCAGCCTGGGCAGAGACTCTGTCTCAAAAAAAAAAAAAAAAGAGTAGATGAGACAAATCACACATCGATGTCAGAGTTTCCACTTATTTTTGCTCACAAAGAAGTCACATGCACACACGTATCTTTTAAGGTGGTAGGGAAATAAGTCTCACCTGTGTGCAACCAGAAGGAGGATTGGAATATTCGTAAACAGCTTTACTGACTTGCTGCTACAATTTAGGAAGTATCACTATTTGTACACAACATGTATCCATCTGTACTTCACAGATGAGGAAACCGAGGTACACTGCGCTTCAGCAACTTGCCTGTGGTCACTTACACCTAGAGGGATTTGAGCCTGGGTAGCTGGCTTTCAAGTCTGTGGTCTTGAGCATAGGCATACCACTACGGCATGGTTTATGTCTTCTTTTCCTCTGTTTTTCAGAGATAAGGTCTCACTCTCATTCAAGCTGGAATGAAGTGGTATAACCATAGCTCAGTGCAGCCTCAAACTCCTAGGCTCAAGCAATTCTCTCCTCACCCTCCTGAGTAGCTAGGGCTACCAGGCACTTGTCACTGTACCCAGCAAATTATTTTTACTTTTGCAGAGGCAGGGTCATGCTGTGTTGCCTAGGTTCATGGTTTATGTTTTCTAATCATTTTACTTTTTTTTTTTTTTTTGAGTCTCTCTCTGTCACCTTGGCTCACTGCAATCTCCTCCTCCCAGGTTCAAGTGATTCTCCTGTCTCAGCCTCCTGAGCAGCTGGGACTACAGGCGCGCACCACCACACCCAGCTAATTTTTGTATCTTTAGTAGAGATGGGGTTTCACTATGTTGGCCAGGATGGTCTCGATCTCTCGACCTTGTGATCTGCCCGCCCTATCCTCCCAAAGTGCTGGGATTACAGGCGTGAGGCATCGCACCCAGCCCCATTTTACTTTTAATTTATTTATGTCATTATATTTAAAAATAAAATGTCATTATATATTTTTTTCTGGGCAGTATATAGTTGGATTTGGGTTTTCAAAATCTGATCTGACATTCTCTGGCTTTTAATTGGTGTTTTCATTTATTTATTTGTGTGTTTTGGGAGACAGGGTCTCACTTTGTCACCCAGGCTTGGGTGCAGTGGTGCAATCTTGGCTCACGGCAGCCTTGGCCTCCTGAGCTCAAGTGATCCCACCTCAGCCCCCCAGCCAAGTAGCTGGGACTACAGGTGCGCGCCACCACGCCAGCTAAGTTTTAAAATTTTGTGTAGAGACAAGGTTTCTGCATGTTGCCCAGGCTGGTCTGGAACTCCTGACCTCAAGTGATCCGTTCGCCTCTGCCTCCCAAAACGTTGGGATTACAGGCATGAGCCACTGTATTCAGCCTAATTGGTATTTTTAGAACATGTACATTTAATATAATTACTGATTGGGTTAGATTTAGGTCTATCATCTGATTTTTTTTCCTGTGTGTCTCTTCTGTTTTTTATATCTCTGTTTCATAGCATTATTTGTATGAGTAGTTAAACAGGGTTTGTTTTCTTTTTTTGAGATGGAGTCTTGTTTTGTCGCCTAGGCTGGAGTGCGGCTGCACGATCTCAGCTCACTGCAACCTCTGCCTCCTGGGTTCAAGCGATTCTCCCGAGTAGCTGGGATTACAGGTGTGCACCACCACACGTGGCTAATTTTTGTATTTTTAGTAGAGACAGGGTTTCACCATGTTGGCCAGGCTGGTCTTCAACTCCTTACCTCAGGTGATCTGCCTGCCTTGGCCTCCCAAAGTGTTGGGATTACAGGCATGAGCCACCGTGCCTGGCCAAAACAGGGCTTTTGGAGGAATTAATTTAGATAGTGTAAATGAGGCAGGTACAAATCATATTCCCTAACTCAGTTTCACAAGAAATACAACTACATTTCCTTTAAATTATTCATTTTAGTTTCTCTCTTGAGTTCTCATTCTACTGGGCTGGTGGACATTTACTCTCAGTCAATTGGGGTCCCCCATTTTACTTCTAAATGGGGACAGCTTTTATGGGGCCAAGGTGGAGGAGCTCACACATTGGGTCCTTGTTGTCTTCACTCCAAACTGGTATCTACTAGGACATCTACAAACCGAATGATCCTGGGAAAGTTATTTAACTCTCTGTGCCTCAGTTTTCTCATCTACAGAATGGGCATAATGATAATTCCTGCTCCAGTGAGTCATGATAAGGATCCAATGAGGCAATCTGTACAAAGAAGCATAGCTCACTTTTTTTTGTTTCTGAGATGAAGTCTTGCTCTGTTGCTCAGGCTGGAGTGCAGTAGCATGATCTTGGCTCACTGAAGCTTCCACCTCCCAGGTTCAGGCGAAACTTCTGCTTTAGCCTCCCAAGTAACTGTGACTACAGGGCAGGTACCACCACCCCCGGCTAAGTTTTGTATTTTTTTTTAGTAGAGTTGTGGTGTCACCATGTTGGCCAGGCTGCTCTCTCCCTCCTGACCTCAAGTGATCCGCCCCCCTTGACCTCCTGAAGTGCTGGGATTAGAGACGTGAGCCACCGTGCCCAGCCCATAGCTCACTTCTGAATTCATTAATTCAACCAACGTTTCCTGAGCACTTACTATGTGTTGAAGACTATTCTACATCATGAGAATCCAGTGATGACCAAGACACATGAGTTCCCTCTTCTTTTTTTTTTTTGAAATGGAGTTTCACTCTTGTTACCCAGGCTAGAGTGCAATGGCGTGATCACCACAACCTCTGCCTCCCAGGTTCAAGCGATTCTCCTGCCTCAGCCTCCTGAGTAGCTGGGATTACAGGCGCATGGTACCATGCCCAGCTAATTTTTGTATTTTTAGTAGAGATGGGGTTTCTCCATGTTGGTCAGGCTGGTCTCAAACTCCTGACCTCAGATGATCTGTCTGCCTCGGCCTCCTATAGTGCTGGGATTACAGGCATGAGCCACTGCGCCCGGCCGAGTTCCCTCTTCTTAAACTGCTCTGATGTTGGTTCATAGAAATGGCAAGGACTCTCTAAATGTTAGAGTCTTCTGTTTTTCTGGGACTCAGTCATTGGGACAACTCTTTCATCATCAAAGCCTTTTGGGCCTAGAGGTCTTTTCTTGCTGTTCTTGGGCACAAGAGATCTTTCTGCTCCTTCTATCCCCTTCCGGGATCTAAGACACCATGAGGCCTTCTAAGCCTCCATCTAACCTGATGGGACAGGAACCCTTTCTGCTCTCTGATTTCCTGTCCCCTCCCTGGGACTTTACCCAGGAAATAGTGCCCAGGCTCCTTCTGCTTTTTAGAGTCTCTAAACCCACCTGGGGTTTTTACCATCGCCTGGTGCTCGCCGGAAACGAGATGCCGGATTCTTCTCTCTGGGACTTGTGGTCTCCACATCTATTACTTCCTTCCCATGGTGGCCCTACCTCTCCACATTTTATTTTTTTTCTCAAAGCAGAAATTTGATTGCTCACATTCTTTGAACACAATGGGTATAACTACAGGATTATATATATACATTTTTTTTTTTTTTACAAAAATTTCAATCACCTTAAACATGTTTAAATTCAGCTGACTGCGGTGGCTCACACCTGTAATCCCAGCACTTTGGGAGTCAGAGGCGGGTGGATCACCTGAGGTCAGGAGTTCGAGACCAGCCTGACCAACATGGTGAAACTCTGACTATACTAAAAATATAAAAATGAGCTGGACGTGGTGGTGGGCACCTGTAGTCCCAGCTACTTGGGAGGCTGACACAGAAGAATCGCTTGAACCTGGGAGGCGGAGGGTGCAGTGAGCTGAGATCACACCACTGCACTCTAGTCTGGGAGACAGAGCAAGACTCTGTCTCAAAAAAAGAAATATTTTTTTTAAAGTCACTAAATAACTTTGGGTCAAAGAAGAAATCGAAACTGCAAATAAATAAAAGCAGACATCAATTGGCATTGTCTACAGTAGAACATATGAAATAGATTCTAGTAAAAAATTCTTAAAACACGAAGCGTTCCAGGATGTAAAAAGCTGAGACGAGTGTTACTCACATCCTAACAGCAACAAAAGCTAGATGAGCTACAAAATCATAACTTTTCCTAAACTCATTAGATAACTATCACGGGCAATCAAAACGTCTAAAATGGGCTGGGCGGGGTGGTTCACGCCTGTAATCCCAGCACTTTGACCTCCCCATATTTTAAGGAATCTTGGTTTGGTGATAAGTTGGGTGGGTGAGTGAGATGTGATTTGCATGTAGTAAAAGGCACACGTCTTTGGTGTATGTTCAGTGAACTTTGACAAATGCATACGCCTGTGTAACTGTGAAACTAACCAATATTTGTAATCTTTCCACCGCCTTAGAAAGTTTTTTCATCTCCTTTTTCTAGTAATCCCTCCCTGCCCCTGACTGCATCCACTGGTCTGATTTCTTTCTTTCTTTTTTTTTCTTTTTGAGATAGAGTCTCACACTGTTGCCTGGGCTGGAGTGCAATGGCGCAATCTCGGCTCAGTGCAACCTCCGCCTCCCAGGTTCGAGCAATTCTCCTGCCTCAGCCTCCTGAGTATCTGGGATTACAGGCACCTGCCACCACGCCCGTCTAATTTTTGTGTTTTTAGTAGAGATGGGGTTTCACCACCTTGGCCAGGATGGTCTCAATCTCTTGACCTCGTGATCTGCCCACCTTGTCCTCCCAAAGTGTTGGTATTACAGGTGTGAGCCACCATGCCTAGGCACACTGGTCTGATTTCTTTTGCCGTAAATTAGTTTGTCTGGAGAGGAGTTGCTTCTAACTATATTTTCTTCCCTATCATTAATCTTTGACATACGTCCTTTCTTGTCTTCCAAAGGTCTGGGATTTTTATTGATTTATTTTTTTGAGACAGAGTTTTGCTCTTGTTGCCCAGGCTGGCATACAATGGTGAGATCTCAGCTCACTGCAATCTCCGCCTTCTGGGTTCAAGCGATTCTCCTGCCTCAGCCATCCGAGTAGCTGGGATTATAGGCATGCACCACCAAGCCCAGCTAATTTTGTATTTTTAGTAGAGACAAGGTTTCTCCCTATTGGTCAGGATGGTCTTGAACTCCCAACCTCCAGTGATCTGCCCACCTCGGCCTCCCAAAGTGCTGGGATTACAGGTGTGAGCCACCGCGCTCTGCCAGGATTTTGATTGTTTTTCGGGACAGGTTCTTGCTCTGTTGTCCAGGCTGGAGTGCAGTGGTGCATTCACGGCTCACTGTAGCCTTGAACTCTTGGGCTTAAGGGATCCTCCCACCTCAGCCTCCTGAGTGGCTGGGGCTATAGGTATGCACCATCATGTCTGACTCATTCTTTAAAATTTTTGTAGAGATGGGGTCTCAGTATGTTGCTCAGGCTAGTCTCGAACTCCTGGGCTCAAGTGAGCCTTCCTCCTTGGCTAAAGTGCTGGGATTACAGGTATGAGGCACTTTGTGAAGGGTCTGGGCTTTTGAAATACCAAAGCCAGGAAACCTACTTTTCCTCTTCCTTCTTTCTTTCCCTGAAACAATGAACTCCTGTGCTGTTTGGATGCAGATTAAGGCTACAGGTGGGGCAAAAGTGCAAGAGAAACCAAAACACATCAGTTACTATTGCTAAAAATGTCACTTAAATGTCATAATGCTAAATACTAAGATGTTACAGTATGAGACCAGGCACAGCAATCCTAGCTGTAATCCTAGCTCTTTGGGAGACTTACAGTGACCTTTGGGAGGCTGCAGTGAGCCATGATTGCACCACTGCATCCCAGCCTGGGTGACAGAGTGAGACTCTGTCTCAAAAAAAAAAAAAAAAAAACATTTAGGGTGGGTGTGGTGGCTCATGCCTATAATCCCAGCACTTTGGGAGGCTGAGGGGGGTGGATCACCGGACGTCAGGAGTTTGAGACCAGCCTGGCCAACATGGTGAAACCCTGTCTCTACTAAAAACCACAAAAATTAGCGAGGTGTGGTGGCGTGCACCTGTAATCCCAGTTACTCAGGAGGCTGAGGTGGGAGAATCACTTGAACCCAGGAAGGCGGAGGTTGCAGTGAGCCGAGATCGTGCCACTGTACTCCAGCTTGTGTGACAGAGCGAGACTCCGTCTCAAAGAAATAAAAAAATTAATCCTTACAACACTACCAGGAGGTAGCTAATGTTAACTCATTTTACAGATGAGGAAGCTGAGGCACAGAGCATTTCGCAGATTGCATGAGAGAAAGTAGCACGATTATTCCCGCCACACATGCTACAGTGGGAGGATGGTCTGGTCCTGTTCTGCATGCCATGGGGATGGGGACGGGGTTCGGGAGGTGACGTTCCCAAGCCCTAAATGTGTGGGACAGGGTAAGGCGTAGGTTCTCGCCCCGAGGGTCATGTAGAGGAATGGCTGGCTGAATGGAGTTTGTATTTGCAGAATTTTGTGGCCAAAGCTCACGGCTCTCCACGGGTATACTGGCTGGGGCTGAATGACAGGGAACAAGAAGGGAACTGGAGGTGGCTGGATGGGTCTCCTGTGACATTAAGGCAAGTGCCCGGGTTTCCTGGGGTCTCTCTACTTCCTCTGTTGGCCCTGATCATGGGGAGAGAAGAAGGTGATGGAGTATGTGATTGAAGGAGACAGGAGCTGGTTCTTACCGGTACAGCTCTACTTGTTTTTTTATTTATTTATTGAGATGGAGTCTCTCTGTTGCCCAGCCTGGAATGCAGTGGAGCGCTCTCGGCTCACTGCAACCTCTGCCTCCTGGTTTCAAGTGATTCTCCCATCTTGGTCCCCCGAGTAGCTATTACAGGTGCCCACCACAACACCTGGCTAATTTTTGTAAAGATGGGATTTCACCATGTTGGCCAGGCTGTTCTTGAACTCCTGACTTCAGGTGATCCATCCACCTCAGCCTCCCAAAGTGCTGAGATTATAGGTGTGAGCTACTGTGCCTGGCCTTATTTTATTTTTTTGAGACAGGGTCTCACTCTGTCACCCAGGCTGGAGTGCAGTGGTGCAATCTCGGCCCACTGCAGCCTCAACCTCCCAGGCTCAGGTAATCCTCCCACCTCAGCCTCCCAAGTAGCTGGGACCACAGTCACGCACCAGCACGCCTGGCTAGTTTTTTGTACTTTTAGTAGAGTTGGGGTTTCACCATGTTGCCCAGGCTGGTTTTAAACTCCTGAGCTCAAGTGATCTGCCCGCCTTAGCCTCCCAAAGTGCTGGGATGACAAGCTTGAACTACTGCTCCTGGCCTCTACTAATTTTAAATACAGAAAAGCTCTTGTCCCGTTTGGTAAATTGCCGTTGCTTTAAGTCTCCTGAGTCCCTCTGCTGCCCCTTGGACTTCCACATCACCTAACCTCTAAAGGGTTTGTCCCTGGCACAGAAGGGGCCTAGAGACCCTGATTGCTGGGTGTGTGTGTGCACAGGTGGCATTGTTTGTTATTTTGGTACACCACCCTCCCCTCCGCCAGCATTCCCTCTTCACTGTGTGCTTGGCGTCTTTTCAGTCCAAGCAGACAGGCTGCACACCACCACGCTTGGCTAATTTTTGTATTTTTAGTAGAGACGGAGTTTCGCCATGTTGGCCCGGCTGGTCTCAAACTCCTGGCCTCAAGTGATCTGCCAGCTTCGGCCTCCCAAATTGCTAGGTTACAAGCATGAGCCACCACACCTGGCCTGGCCAATTTTTACGTGTTTGTAGAGATGGGATTTTGCCATGTTGCATAGGCTGGTCTTGAACTCCTGAGTTCAAGCAATCCTCCGGCCTTGGCCTTCCAAAGTGCTGGAATTACAGGTGAATCACACCAGGCCTGATGAGGAGGATTTTGATTTGCCAAAATAATGAGCAAGATCTCATGAAAAAAAAGACACAGGGTTTCACTCTGTCATGTAGGTTGGAGTGCAATGGTGTGATCACAGCTCACTGCAGCCTCCAGCTCCTGGGCTCAAGTGATCCTCCTACTTCAGCCTTCTGAGTAGCTGGGACTACAGGTGTGCACCACCACACCTGGCTAATTTTTAATTTTTTTGTAGTGATGGGGTCTTGCTGAGTTGCCCAGGCTGGCCTGGTGCTTCTGGGCTCTAGTGATCCTCCCACTTCAGCCTCCCAAAGTGTTGGGATTTATTAGCATGAGCCACTGTGTCTGGCCAGGATCTCATTTTTTTAAAAAAAACAAACTAGAGGATAATCTCTACAAGATCTCTCTCCCTCTCCCCCATTTGTTTTTGAGGAGTTTTGCCCTTGTTGCTCAGGCTGGAGTGCATAGCATGATCTCGGCTTACTGCACCCTCTCTCTCCCAGGTTCAAACAGTTCTCCTGCCTCAGCCTCTTGAATACTTGGGATTACAGGCACCTGCCACCACATTCAGCCAATTTTTTGTGTTGTTAGTTGAGACGGGCTTTCACTATGTTGGCTAGGCTGGTCTCGAACTCCCGACCTCAGGTGATCCACCCACCTTGGCCTCCCAAAGTGCTGGGATTACAGGTGTGAGCCACCATGCCCGGCCAAAATCTCATTTTTAACTGAAGATTCCATAACTCTCTGGAGAGCTGGTATTTGGCATGGTGAGGCATTGAAGGTGCCTGGCTTCTTCCAACATTGGGTTCCTTTTTTCTTTTGAGACAGAGTCTTGGTCTGTTGCCCAGGCTGGTGTACAGTGGAAACATCTTGGCTCACTGCAACCTCTGCCTCCCTGGTTCAAGTGATTATCGTGCCTCGGCTTCCCGAGTAGCTGGGATTGCAGGCACCTGCCACCACACCTGGCTAATTTTTGTATTTTTCTTAGAGACAGGGTTTCACCATGTTGACCAGGCTGGTCTTGAACTCCTGACCTTAAGAGATCCACCTGCCTCAGCCTCCCGAAATGCTGGGATTACAGGTGTGAGCCACCGCGCCCAGTGGAACTTTGGCTACTAAAAGCTCACAGGAATGCTTTTTCCAGAAAGTTGTTCCCAGCTGAATGGGAGTGTGCTCACTGAATATGTTACCCAACTCTATTGGGGTCAGCTCACAACCAGTGACAGCCTAAGATAAGCCTGAACCCCTTATGACAAGTTGGGATGACTCTGATGCTGTTTATATCCCAGTGGTCTCTGTGGGGTCAGGCTGAGGCTAGGGCCATCTGAGTCTACTATCCTGTTCAATTCCTTTCCCTTCTCCATCCAGCTTCCCTCACCTCCCTCCTAAGAACATCCTTTAATAAATTCCATACATGGCCAGGCGCGTTGGCTCACCCGTGTAATCCCAGCACTTTGGGAGGCCGAGAAGGGTGGATCACCTGAGGTCAGGAGTTCAAGACCAGCCTGACCAACATGGAGAAACTCTGTCTCTACTAAAAACACAAAAATTAGCTGGGCATGGTGGCGCATGCTTGTAATCCCAGCTACTCTGGAGGCTGAAGCAGGAGAATCACTTGAACCTGGGAGGCAGAGGTTACAGTGGGCTGAGATTGCATCATTGCACTCCAGCCTGGGCAACAAGGGTGAAACTCTGTCTCAAAAGAAAAAAAAAAAACCCACTCCTGAGTCCTTGAATCAGGCTCTGCTTTAAGCAGACCCTACGTGACCTAAGACGTGACAATTCCTAGGAGGTTGGGAAGGTTGGGTTGGGAGGCTGTAAAGGAAAGAGTCCTTGGAAGACAAGGCAGAAACTGACCAGATTCAGAAATTGATTCAGGGCCAGGCATGGTGGCTCACCGTGTCCGGCTTGCAGGTGTAAGCCTCCGTGCCCAGCCTGATACGGGTTTTGACAAATGCATAATGCCAGATATTGACCATTACAGTATTATACAGAAGAGTTTCACTACCCTAAAAAATCCCCTCCCTCTGCCCACTTTTTCCTCCATCCAGCTTCTGGGAGCCAGAGGAACCCAATAACATCCAAGAAGAGGACTGCGCTAGCATGAACAAAGACGGCACCTGGAATGATCTCTCTTGCCACAAATCTACATATTGGATTTGCGAGCGGAAGTGTTCCTGTTGAAGCTCAGGGCTGAGGCTGGGGGTTCATATTCGAGCGTCCCTCACTCTTCAAGATGAGAATCTTCTGACTTTTCACGGACGGCCTTGCCTCTTCATGAATGGACACAGATGTGCCCCAGACAGGATTGGCACCCTGGATGCAGCAAGTTTCCAGGGATGCAAGTCAGGCTGTTTCTAGAGTGAAGACTTGGGTTCCCCCCAGTAGATGGTGAGCTGGGTGGGCACTCAGGGTTTGGGGGTGGGAGGTCTCCCAGTTCTAGGGTTGAAGGGATCGTCACCAAGTTCCTGATCATGACTCTTGGGAAGTGGTACTAGCTCTGAGGACCCTGGGGCTGCTATTGAACCTGGGATGAAACATTGTGGCACCTCTGCTGGGACTGGGCTCCCTTTTCTGCAGCCTCAAACTTCTGGAATCAGGTGATCCTCCCATCTCAGCCTCCTGAGTTAGCTGGGACTATACATGTGCACCACCATGCCTGGCTAACTTTTTGTAGTGTTTAAAGAGAGGGAATCTCACTATGTTGCCCAGGCCAGTCTCAAACTCCTGGCCTCAATTGATCCTCCTCCTTGAGCCTCCCGGATTGTTAGGATTACAGGTGTGAACCACTGTGCCTGGCTCAAAATTATTATTATTTTTATAGAGGTGAGGTCTCACTATGTTGCCCAGGCTGGTCTCGAACTCCTGGGATCAAACAGTCCTTCTGCCTCTGGCTCCCAAAGTGCTGGGATTACAGGTATGTGTCACTGCACCTGGCCAATATTTTTATTTTTATTTTACCTTCCCTGTCTTTTTTTTTTTTTTTTTTTTAACAAAAGCTTTGAAAGTGGTGACAGACAGCAAAATTTGCCTTTGAGCTAGACCTTTGGGTCTGCCTTGCACGTTAAGTGGGCTGGTCTCACATCGTCTCCACCATCAGTGCAAATTACAAACCTAACAATTACAGAACGTCAGCGGAGAAGACAGGAGAGCTTCCATACCCACCCTGTGTCCCCCCTCCAGACACTGCTTCCTTCCTCGTCTTAAACAGCACAAATAACCCAGAAGCCATCAAAATTATTTTCTACAAGCAACTTTCTCAATGTCTTGAGTGAGGTTTGCACAAACTAAGTGGCAGAATCAGACCTTTGCCAGAAGACTTGGCCCATAAAACTTCTATCCTGTTTTTTTTGAGATAGGATCTCATTCTGCCACCCAGGCTGGGGTGCAGTGGTACGATCATAGCTCACAGCAGTCTCCACCTCCTGGGCTCCGGCAATCCTCCCGCCTCAGCCTCCCAAGTAGCTGAGACCAAAGGCGTGCACCCTCATACCTGGCTGGCCCCTGGAACTTCTAGAAAGGCATACCAGCTGAAAAGCAAGACTTACATAGTGTGGCCAGGCCAGGCCTTAACCTGGTCAGATCCACACAGGACAACGATGGACATATCTGCCAACACGTGCCCTTGAGCTGTCTGTGAGTGATGATATTATTTACTTTACTGGCCAGACATGGTGGCTCATGCCTGTAATCACACCACTTTGGGAGGCTGAGGTTGGCAGATCACCTGAAGTCAGGAGTTCGAGACCAGCCTGGCCAATATGGTGAAACCCCGTCTCTGTTAAAAGCACACAAGAAAAGTAGCTAGGTATTGTGGCTTGTGCCTGTAATCCCAACTATTTGGGAAGCTGGCGCAGGAGAATTGCTTGAACCCAGGAGGGGAGGTGGAGGTTGCCGTGAGCCGAGATCATGCCACTGTATGCATGGGTGACAGAGCAAGACTCCATCTCAAAAAAAAAAAAAAAAAATCACTTTACTTCTGTGTGAACTTCCTTGGGCTATTAGCTCTTGCAATGTTAGTGCTTCTCCAAATGCCACTTCCTTGGGTGTTCCTTGTCTACTGTGTGTTAGTTTGCTGGGGCTGCCATAACAAAAGACCATAGACTGGGTGGCTTCAGCAACAGAATGCATTTTCCCAGTTCTGGAGGCTGGATGTCCAAGATCAAGGTGTTGGTAGGATTAGTTTCTTCTGCGGCCTCCCGTCTTGGCTTGTAGAGGATCCTGTTCTCTCTGTATCTTCACCTGGTTTTCCCTCTGTGTGTGTCTGGGTTCTAATCTCCTCCTCCTCTTTTTTTTTTCTTTTTTGAGACATGATCTTGCTCTGTTGCCCCAGCTGGAGTGCAGTGGCACGATCTCAGCTCACTGCAACTTCCACCACCCAGGCTGAAGCCATCCTCCCTCCTCAGCCTCCTGTGTAGCTGGGATTACAGGTGCACACCACCAGGTCTGGCTAATTTTTGTATTTTTTGTAGCAACGGGATTTTACCATGTTGCCGAGGCTGGTTTTGAACTCCTGGGCTCAAGTGGTCTGCCCACCTTGGCCTCCCAAAGTGCTGGGATTACAGGTGTGAGCCACCGGGTTGGGCCTACAATGACCTCTTTAAAGATCCTGTCTCCAAATATAGTCATATTATGAGGTCCTGGGAATTAGAATTTCAACATATGCACTTGGGAAGGGTGGCACAATTCGGCCCATAGCATTCACAAACGGCCAGAGTGACCCCCGGCCACGTGACAACCAAACATCAATTAGAGGGCTGGTATTACTCCTGGCTAGGAACACTCAACATAGTATTCCCTTTGGACAATCCCCAAATTGCATGCAAGAATGGGTAGACATTCTCCAAACGGATCAATTTATTTTATTTTATTTTATTTTTTTGAGATAGAGTCTTGCTCTATCACCCAGGCTGGAGTGCAGCAGCGTGATCTCGGCTGACTGCAACCTCTGCTTTCCAGGGTCAAGTGATTCTCCTGCCTCAGCCTCCTTAATAGCTGGGATTACAGGTGCGTGCCACTATGCCTGGCTAATTTTTGTATTTTTAGTAGAGACGGGGTTTGCCATATTGGCCAGGCTGGTCTCAAACTCCTGACCTCAAGTAATCTATCTGCCTCAGCCTCCTAAAGTGCTGGGATTACAGGCGTGAGTCACCACGCCTGGCCTTATTTTATTATTTGAGACAAGGTCTCACTCTGTCATCCAGGCTGGAGTGCAGTGTTGTAATCATAGCTCACTGCAGCCTCAAACACCTGGGCTCAAGTGATTCTCCCTCCTCAGACTCCTGTACATATAACTAGAACTGCAGGTGTGCCCCACCACACCCAACTAATTAAAAAATGTTTTCTTTGTAGAGATAGGGGTCTTGCTATGTTGCCCAGACTGGGCTTAAACTCCTGGCCTCAAACAATCCCATCCTCCTGCCTCAGCTTCCAAAGTGCAAGGATTGTGATCAATGTATTCATCAACAATCACCCTTCATTACTAGCAGACTCTTTCCTGTTTTGTCTGAGAACAGGTGATTATGGCAAGGAGACTGCAAGGGTGGGGAAGGCTGGGGCTGATTTCACTTCCTGTTTCTTTGATTTGTTTTAAATCTACTTGCTCTTTTATTTCCTTATTTTTTTATTTTTTGAGACGGACTCTCACTCTGTCACCCAGGCTGGAGTGCAGTGGTGCGATCTCGGCTCACTGTAACCTCTGCCTCCTGGGTTCAAGTGATTCTCATGCCTCAGCCACCTGAGTAGCTGGGTTGCCATGATGCCCAGCTAATTTTTGTATTGTTAGTAGAGACAGGCTTTCACCACGTTGGTCAGGCTGTTCTCAAACTCCTGACCTCATGTCATCCGCCCGCCTTGGCCTCCCAAAGTGCTGGGATTATAGACGTGAGACACTGCACCTGGCCACGTTATTTTTAGGAGGTGGGTTCTCAGTATGTTTCCCAGACTGGAGTGCAGTGGCAATTCACAGGCACGAATGATCCCACTACTGAGTTTTGATCAACTCTGTCCTCTATTCTCACCTCCGCCCACCCCTGCACTTGCCCCAATTCATCACCACCAAAGCGAGCTCCGGTGCTGTCCGCAGCCTGCTGAGTGGGCGGATGTGGAGTTGTAAACCATCCATCCAGGGGGCTGTTGTGGCAAGCAACTTTATCTGGGGTCAGGGGAAGATCTCACATTTCAGAAGAGGGAAATTGAGTGTTCTCTGATACGTGTATTGAGAAATGGGGAAGCTGGGGGCTGTGGTCACATCTCTGGGTCATGCTGCGGAGGGGAGCCTGGAGGAGCTGGTTCCAACCTAGCTCCTTTCCACATCGCTCATGATTGTCTAATTGTGGACAGAGAGGTAAACATGAAAGAGGTTGTTTTTACCACTTTAGGTCCAGGGGATCAACAGTTGGATAAAAATAATAACCATGGTTTATCAAACATGTACTACGTGGTAGATAAATGCAGTGGCTCTCATTGAATCTTCACCATGGCTTTGTGAGGTCGAAATAATTATCAACTTCCACCAATCTTTTTTTTAGACAGAGTCTCACTCTGTTGCCCAGGCTGGAGTGCAGTGGTGTGATGTCAGCTCACTGGAACCTCTGCCCTCTGGGTTCAAGTGATTCTCCTCAGCCTCCCAAGTAGCTGGGATTACAGGAGCACCATAATGCCCAGCTAATTATTGTATTTTTAGTATAGATGGGGTTTCGCCATGGTGGCCAGGCTGGTCTTGAGCTACTGAGCTCAGGCAATCCACCTGCCATAGCTTCCTAAAGTGCTGGGATTACAGGTGTGAGCCACTGTGCCCAGACCCATTTCCTTTCTTTTCTTTTCTTCCTTTCTTTTTTTTAAAGACAAGGTCTCACTCTGTCACCCAGGCTGGAGTGCAGTGGTGCAATCATAGCTCACTTAAAATCTCTCATTGGGTACAATGGCTCATGTCTGTAACCTCAGCACTTTGGGAGCCCATGGTGGGTGGATCACTTGAGGTCAAGAGTTCAAGACCAGCCTGGCCAACATGATGAAACCCTGTCTCCACTAAAAATACAAAAATTAGCTGGATGTGGTGGCATGCACCTGTAGTCCCAGCTATTGGGAGGCTGAGGCAGGAGAATAATTTGAACCTAGGAGCCAGAGGTTGCAGTGAGCCTAGATCACACCACTGCACTCCAGCATGGGTGACAGAGACTGTCTCAAAAAAAGAAAAAAAAAAAAAAAAAAAAAAAGATAGCCTGTATCAGCAAAGAAGTAAAGGCAGTAGGTAGCCAATGATTTGAGGGAATGAATGAGTTCAAAGAGCAAGTTTATGACAAGTGTGGTGACTCATGCCTGTAATCCCAGCACTTTGTAATCCCACCTGGAATTCTCCCAGGTGGGAGAATAATTTGAGCTCAGGAGTTTGAGGCTGTAGTGAGCTACAATTATGCCACTACACTCCAGCCTGGGTGACAGAGTGAAACTCTGTTTTAAAAAAAGAGTAAGTTTAGAATGAGTTAGACTAAGAACTTGAGGAAAAGGACCTCTTCATTTACAAAAAGTAAAGGAAATATTTGCAGTGGTCGTGATTTGGGTTTCCAGGGACAAGCATTGACTGAACACACCATAGTGAAGGGGGATGCAATTAACCACACATTTATTGAGAGCCTATTACACAGAACAAACACTTCAGGAAGTAAAGGTTGTTTATTTCCTCTCC